AAACAAAATATTCACCAAATCCTATTAAAACTAACATGTCAAAAAGAAAAAAAAATAGTACTAGTTGCAAAAAGAGATTTTTTAAACATTGGTAAAACCGTCAACAAAACACTAAACTCTAAAATCTAAACACTAAAACATAAATCTTTAGATAAACCATAAACCTTTGAATAATCCTAAACATTAAATCATAAACATAAACATTAAATCGTAAAAACACTACATCCTTTACATCGTCAATTTATTCAACGATTTATGATTTAAAATTTATCCAAGAATTTACTAAGATTTTATGATTAAAGTTTAAAGTTTAAAATTTAATATTTTATTAACCGTGTTAACAATATTTAAAACAAATTTTGTAGCTATTACTATTTTTTATTTATTTTTGTCCATTTAATTTATAAACATAATATGATTTGGTAATATTTTATTTTCTTTTTTTTCAAAAACTAAATATGAAGTGGTATATTTCTGTTGGTTAGTAAACCCAAGAAAAATCTACATTGTGTATAGTAAATAGGAATAAAATCTCCAGAATCTTATAAATGATCATAAATCTTGATTTCTTGAAAAAAAATTATAAATCATAATTCGAAACTGTAAATTGTTTAAAATAAAATAAATATCAAAAGTCTATATATTATTGTTGAAACTTCTAAAGTCGAAACTAAAAATAAGATGAAAAACATCTGAAGGGTTTGTCTGAAATTAGGATCGAGATGGAAAGAAGAAAGACAGTATATCTCGAAAAAAAAAAGTAGAACTCAGACAAGTGACAAAGTATGGGTGAGAAAGAGAAGTAAAACATAGTTAAGGGCTGTTGACCAAAAAAAACATAGGTAAGGGCTATTGACCAAAACAAAAAAAAAAACATAGTTATAGGGTATAGAAACTGTGAAGACAAGGAAAAAAGAAAGAACGTAAACCAATACTAAACCGAGCCTTAAACCGATTAACAAAAACAAAAAATTAAAGAAAAATGCTACTAACGGAGCTATCATCATGGACACGCCAAATGGTCTCACCCAGAAGATTAGCCACCGACAAAATCGTTAGCTGCGGGAAGTAATTCTTCTCCGCTACCGGTAAAGTATTCGTCACTATCACTTCTTGCAGCAAACCGCTCGATAACCGCTCTATCGCAGGCGGACTGCCACATTAATTCATTCAAGAAAAGAAACTCTCATATATCAGATGTTTTTACATTTTAAACAAATACAGAAGAAAAAAACTGTTAAACAGAGCTAATAAGTTCACCTGAAAACAGCGTGCGTGCAGCAAGCGTAAACCTCACGAGCACCCTCCTCATGTAGAAGAGCTGCTCCTTTCACAATGGTTCCTGCAAATTAAAAAAAAAAGGTTCTTAGTATAGTTGCTTGGTATGAGAACTGTCTTTAGAGATTATTGTGGGAATGAAGTGTAGAGTTGTTGACAGAAAATGTAACTTCACGTGGTGTTTAACTAACCAGCGGTATCAATCATGTCATCCACCATCACAGCAACTTTCCCTTTAACATCACCGATTAGGTTCATGACCTACGTGACAAGAAGAAACTGAGTATCTAGAAATGAGAAAAAGGGTGAATTTGAGATAATACCTCAGCAACATTGTGGCCATGGCGCCTTTTATCGACAATGGCGAGTGGTGCATCAGATAATTTCTTAGCAAAAGCACGTGCCCTTGCTACTCCACCAACATCAGGGGAAACCACTACCAAATCCTCTGAGGATATCGACTTGCTAGCAAGGTAATCAAGTATCACAGGCTGAAACGTAATCACAGAACTTTTGAGTTAAAGATCATTTAAAGGAGACAGAAATATATCAAGAATGTTGACGTTAAGGGTAACCTGGCAATAAACATGATCCACGGGTATGTCAAAATAACCCATGGACTGTCCTGAATGAAGATCACATGCAAGAACCCGATCCGCACCAGCTTCAGTTATAAGGTTTGCCACCAGTTTAGCGGCAATAGATTCACGCCCTTGTGTCTAAAACAATAATTTAGATAAGATTAAATTTACTTGAAACCTGATCTACTCACAAAAGAGACCTTACCTTTCTATCAGCTCTTGCATATCCAAAATACGGAATCACAGCTGTGACTTTCTTAGCCGACGCTCTTCTGCAAGCATCGATCATGATCAATAGCTCCATGAGATTCTCATTCGTTGGAGTGCAAGTAGGCTGCACCAAGAACACATCACAGCCTCTAACACTCTCTTTCAGCTGCACGTAGACCTCTCCATCAGCAAACCTCTTTATACTAATCTTCCCAAGCTCCAAGCCCATATACCAAGCAATTTCCTTCACAAAAGTTTCCAGAGAGTTAACAAAGTATAAAAACTTCATTTAAAAGATCAAAGTCGTCGAGAGAGAAACTACCTGAGAAAGTGCTGGATTTGCAGTGCCAGAGAACAACTTGAGCTTGGTATTGTTAGCTTTACTGGCCGATTTCTCCAACCGGGAAGAATCAAAGTACTTTGGAAGTGTCGTCTCATTGATAATTGGGATACTAGCGTTCCCGTTCAAATTGCATTTCTGGCAAAAAAAAAAAAAAAAAAAAAAAAAGCAATGAAACTGTAAGTAAACAAATTCACAACATTAGAAACCACACAATTATCTATTTTTCTCATTTCTCTTCAAAATTATTATGTTTAACCAAAGATTCATATACTTTCAACTTTTATTTTTGATCGAAGGAATATATCGAAAACCGAAGTAAAAACAAATCCCCAAGGACATAATAGCGATGACTAGTCTGATCATGTTTTATAATGAGGTCGATATAAGACATGCCTCATGCAGGATTCTTTCTAACCAGTTTTATTTTACCCTCCTATAAATTAACACTTACCACAAAACTAACACAGTTTAGTTCCGACTTCACATTAATCTGAATGATTAGAATTATAGCATAAAGTCAAATCCCAGAAAGATCAAAAGTATAGATTATTAAGCTTTTTGAATTTTATGTAATGTATGTATCGAAAATTCATCAATGACAGTAAACAAAAGAAGGAGTGTGCTCACCGCAGAACCGGAAACGCAGATTCGGAAGCGAGAGCCAGGGGTCCTGAAGGAAATCGAGGAGCGGGAGAAGAGAGACGAAGAAGACGCGGCGGCCATGTACGAAGGCATCTTAACGCCTGGAGAAGAAGTCAGAGCCATCGACGCCATAAGTAAATGAATGATACGCCTACAGCACCTGAAACTTATACGTAGGGGAAGGGAGTGTATCAAATTCTTGCCGTAGATATTTACGAGAGAACTTGATTCGGAGGTTAGCGTTTCTGGATTGGAGTGAGAGGCGAAGAGGAAGAAGAAGAATCCGAATTCGAATGTGGATTCTTCTCTCCTTTTGTTAACCTCAGGCGGTGGGTGCGGCGAAAGTTTTTTCTTCGCTTTCTCGAGATTACAAACACAAATTAAAATATATATTCCTACCAAACTGCGTCGTTTCCGGTGGAGCGCCTACATGCAGGTGGCTCTCAGCTTACGTGTCATGTAGCGACTTAACTTTAAAGTAGTCAAAAGACAAGTTGTTTTGGGTTTTCAGGAATGTCCCATTGAGTTTTGGAGTTTTTTTCTTTCTTTTTTTTTTCTTTTGTAAAAACAATTTTGGAGTATTTCTTCCTTTGTTAGTTTACTTTATAAATTTGTAGAGATAAACACCATAATTTTATGACATAATCCAGTTGAATTATCCATATATGATCTAATTAAATATAATTGCATAACGTTATTGAGTTTAATGTAATTAACAAATTATACACGTTACTCATTCACCTCATCAAAAATTTCTATTTTATTTAACTATCTACGATCTTGAATTTTTTTTATCGAAAAAAGAAACTTGAAGTTTTTTGCTAATTTTTATTTGTTTTCTCAAAAATGTAAAATCTGTGGAACGGTGACATGTTATAATCGATTTGATTGAAGGGTAGAGCTTCTAAAATACCACATTAGGTTAGAAATGTGAATGTTAGAAAAATCCTTACTAAAGATGTTCCTCCTTTTTACATTGATATAGGTTTTAGTGTCTTTTAAGAAATTAAAACTTCGATTTTATCATTGTACAGCAATTTCAAGTATAACCTTATAGTTTGTGTGTGCGTAGCAGGCTGTAGAGGGGGGCTTGTCGACACTAGTGAGAAGCATTCAAACAGAATCTCAATTCTAAATAATCTCATTTACTGTCTGATTATTTAATCCACTTGGTTTTCATGCCACAGAAGACCATTCGTTTGTTGGTTTCTCTTGGGCCGCTACACAAGTAGACTGGGTCACATCATCAATATTGACAATTGACAACTTGGTTTTAAATAGCGTTCGCTACCCTCGCCATGGCGCTCGGCGACGTCTAGCGATGTCCTCATCGCCTTAAGACTCCAAGGCCATGCGAGGTACACAAAGCGCTCGCTATTGAACGCTAAACTAGTATCACGTAAAGCGAGCAAAGCGCGCTTCAATAAATCTTCTTAAATCAGCATGGTTTATTCAAATTTAGGTTACCAGACCAACCTCGGTTTAATAGAGTTGATGTGCCTTATGATATAATCTATCGTCAAACCCTAATTTAACTAAAAGAAGGCAGAAAATAATAGGATCTTCAACTCAGAAAAGAGGGAATCATATGGTCTAAGTCCTGTTTGTCTTTGGTTGATGTTGATGAGGATGAATTGGAAGATGATTTACGTTTGTGGAAGTATTAAAATTCTAAAGATCATGTTTCTGAATCAGAATTGTAGAGTTTATGGTTTTCTAATCATATTTTAGATATTACTACTTTTTAACTGGTGTTTTGACTTAAACCTAGATGTAACCAATGAAAATTATCATTTGCATGTGTAATACACATGGCGATCGCCATAGCTCGCCATGGCGCATGGCGAGTGTCAATCCCCTCTTCGCTTATGTTCGCAATAAGCTATTTAAAACCAAGATTGACAACAAGGAAAAGTGCATATCTTTAAAAGAACAAGTCGCTTAATCAAAAACTGAAGGCGTGATTTACAAAAGACTCGTTCTAAAACACTACGAAACAACTTATATATTGTGGAAAGACACGTCAAGAAAGCCAAACTGGGACATATTTGCAGTCATAAAGGCAAAAAAAAAAAAAAAAACTGGGAACGGAAAGATTGGAATATAACTCATGAAGAATTTTATTGGAGCTGAACATATGTACATATCTTGGAGACCACTGGTTGTCATTTGTCTGAAATGTTCAACTCGGCTCTGGAGATGGATTGTTGTCCTATTAAGGAAACCAAAGAAAAACAAAACAACAGATATGATCATGTCAATTGCTTGCCACAAAAAAATGAAGTAAGAATGAATAAATAAATGCATGATAGGATTATACCATGTTAGATTGTCGAAGAGCACGAAGCTGCGTGCTTTCCATGTTTTCAAGTAACTGAGTTACTGTGTTTAAATGAACTCCGCTGTGTTGAGTAATGAAACTTGGATTAGGACACAAGAGCTACAAAGCATGAGAATATTAAAGGGAGCAATGTTTTATCATTGGATTATGCAATTTCAAAAATAGGTTCTAATTCTTGCATAAAGGAGATCAAACCTGTTCAATCCGCTTTCTATATGTGCATCGAGAGATGAAATAACTTGAGGAAGCTGCGCCAAAGCCTTCAAGAGAAAAAATAAAAATAAAAATAAATAATGCATAAGAAACCAGTAACAATATACATGTTTTACATGCTCCCAGAACATACATACTTGTCCAGTTGCCTTAGTTAAAGAAGCTTTGGCCAAAAGATTTTTTGGGAGCTTTGCCAATTGAGCCTGCAAATAGCAAAGGTTCAAAACTGAAGCAGATGAAAGTGAAAGGTAATCCTTATACAACTTTTCTAGATAGCTTATTTATTTACACAGTAGCAAATTAGTAAGCATGAACACAAGGGGAGATAGGTAGCTTCCAATAACGTACAAGTCATCTCCTGCTTTTAACATCAACGACATAATCTGAGTTCTCAGTAACATCAGGCTAAAGATACAGAATAGTATCAAACTAGCCCAAATACAAACTTAATATGACCAATTGATCAAAGGCCAAAGCTAGTTATTGAAAATTCCACACAAAGAATGCAGGATTTGGCTCTAAGTTCCGATACAATCCGATCGCAAGCAGGCCATAAGGGTTTCGAGAGTGTACCTGGGCAGGCGACGATTGACGCATCAGATGGAGAAGGTTAGCAGTAGAATTAACAGCTTGCGTTATCTGTTCCGCCACGACTGCTTTCGCCGTTTTATCACCTCCTCTTGCGTTCTCCGATGCCGTCGCCATATCTTCTTTCGCCTGTTCGATTTTTCTTCTTTTTTTTTTTAACAAATTGATAAATATAGGTGTCAATTGTTAAAATAGAAAAGTATAGGTGTCAATTTGTAAATACATTATATTTTTGTTTGGATTCATCTTATAAGTTTCCGGATATATATATATAGGAGAAATCGCATAAAAAACCTCCAGAGTGACACTTACTAGCACTTTAAACCTTGAAGTTTTTTCACTAGCACTTTAAACCTTCAAAGTGACATTTGTGTCACAAAAAACCTTGAACTTGAAAATCTGACCTGTTGAACAGGTAAAACAAGTTATTTATCTAGTTTTTCCAAAAAATAAATATTAAAAATAAAAAAATTAATNTTGTGTCACAAAAAACCTTGAACTTGAAAATCTGACCTGTTGAACAGGTAAAACAAGTTATTTATCTAGTTTTTCCAAAAAATAAATATTAAAAATAAAAAAATTAATAAATAATCAAAAAAAAATTAATAAAAAATCTATTAAATTTTCAAAAAAATTAAAGAAAATTTCAGAACATAAAGAAACATTTATAAAAAAATAATTTCAGATACCCGGAATTAAATAAAATTTTTAAAATTAAACAAAAATTAAAGAAAATTCACAAAATTGAACTTTTTTGAAAAATCAACTGATTTTTATTTATTTTTTTATTATTTATTAAATTTTACGAAATATTTATTTCTCAGAAAAACCTGATAAATTACCTATTTTATTTATTAGTTTTTTTCATAGAAATAAATATTAAAATAATAAATAATCCAAAATAAATAAAATAAATTGAATTTTCAAAAAAGTTAAAGAAAATTGCAAAACATAAAGAAAAATTTATAAAAGAAGATTCAGAAAATTAAACAAAAGTTAAAGAAGATTCACAAAATTTTGAAAACTCAAAAGTTCAAAATAGTTTTTAACTATTTGAAACCATCAACTTCAACAGTAATATGTTTGAATTTTTTTTTGGAAACGATGATATGTCAATTTTATTGGAAAATTTCATAAAAATTACAAGTTTCCTTTTCAAAAATCTGAAATATTATAGATGAGAATAAAAATTTCAAATATATCACTATTGACGATGATGGTTTCAAACAATTTTTCATTTTTTTACATGTTTCTTTATGTTCTGAAATTTTATTTATTTAAAAAAAATGTAATTTAGTTTTTGATTTTTATTTAGTTTTGTTCAATTTTGTGAGTTTTCTTAATTTTTGTTAAATTTTTAGATTTTTTTATTTTTGGTATTTGAAATTATTTTTTATAACTTTTCTTTATGTTCTGAAATTTTCTTTTTTTTGAAAATTTAATTGATTTTTATTCATGTTGTGATTATTTTGTTAAATTTTTATTTATTAAATTTTTTTTTTTTGAAAAAACTTGATAAATGACTTGTTTTACCTGCTCAACAGGTCAGATTTTCAAGTTCAAGGTTTTTTGTGACACAAATGTCACTTTGAAGGTTTAAAGTGCTAGAAAAAAAACTTCAAGGTTTAAAGTGCTAGTAAGTGTCACTTTGAAGGTTTTTTATGCGATTTTCCCTATATATATATATATATATATATATATATATATTTATCAATTTGACACCCCATACCGGTACATGAAAACCAAACTAATCAAAAAACATCTCTAGTTTTTTTTTGTATTCAAGTACATGGAAAATTGAGAGTTTGAGTACACACATTACAACAATCTTCAACATCTTCATATTTGTATAACCTATGGAATAAAAATTACAAAACTGGACTATTGAGACCAACACATTTTGGATCTAATAAAATGATTATATTAGCCTAAGCCAGTTCAGATTCTTCAGCTTTATCCAACTGAGTAAGTTCCCCTAACGCAATACATATTCCTGTTTGGTAATGTCCTCTTGTGATCTTCAAATTGACATTCTCCAGATATCTCAATACGTATCTTAAATTCTTCTTTTTCTTGTTCTTCTGCTTCTTGTTCATTTTCGGTCTTCACAACAATAGAATGTCCAGTTGAGTGTGACCTCCAGAACCGCAAATTTGACTCCTTCATTCGTCTTTCATAGCCTTCGATTTCGTCTGTTTGATCTAAACTACTAATAGTAGTTGTCGTAGGATGCTCCTCATGGACGATGATTGTTAATGTGTCATGCGACAAAGGCTCATCATCATGGCTTTCAGATCTAACCTGATCGGTTTCAGGAACATTGGGTGGCTTTTCTAGCGAGGTCCGGTCTACATCAAGCTCACATCGGCATACCGGGCAAGTCTTGTGTAATTCGAACCAAAGATCAATGCAGATTGTGTGAAAGAAATGGTTACAAGTGGAAATGAGCCTCATGGTATCATCATCCATGAAGTCTAATAAACAAATGGAACATTGGTCCATCCCACGATCTTTCACCGAATAAGGAAACTCCGGGAAGGATTGAATGATCTTGGAGTCGAGTCCGGTGTTTTCAGGTGGAGTAGACGGTTGTATTAGGTTACTGGGACGGTTACGGTTTCGATGGTTGTTCCAAATGCTTAAGAGTTTTCTGAGAAGCGATCCACAGTAGAAAAAGGAGAAGAAACCGGTGAGAATGATGAAGAGAAGACCACCGGTCAAAACTATGGTGACCGGCGTGGAAACTAGGGTGTGGACTGGTTTGAAATTGTCTGTTTCGGTCGTGGATATAGACATTTTGAAGACTGGAGTGAGAAAGGTCGGGTTAGAAAATACTGTGACTGGTTTCAAAGGTTGCTTGAAGAATAAGAAAAAAGGGGTTTGTTTTGAGGCTGCGTGTGGGAAGGCTAATGTCAGTGGGGAAGAGAGAAATGAGGAGAAAGGTATGGTCTGTGTCCAAGCTTTTGAGCGAGTCTTTGGTGAGAAATATGTGGTTTTGTTTAAGGCCAATTTAATAAAAGAAAATTAATTTTTATAACTCTAGGAATCCAAAGAAATTTGATAAAATACAAACACAACGTACAAAACTTTTGATTGGTTAAATTTTCTTTTTGTCTCAAAGTACAAAATGTTGTGTGCTAAAATATGAAATCAATTGTAATTGACAAATATTTTGTTGATAAGTGAGTTTCACATTTCAATTAAACATACTTCAAAAAATCTATGCTCTTGAATATATATATATATATATTACATTATAATTTTCTTCATGTTTAAATGTTTTTCAGGCGATTAGTCTTACGGTTAAGTTGAAAAAATATATATCTATATAATATTTAATAGGGAAAATCGCATAAAAAACCTTCAAAGTGACACTTACTAGCACTTTAAACCTTGAAGTTTTTTCACTAGCACTTTAAACCTTCAAAGTGACATTTGTGTCACAAAAAACCTTGAACTTGAAAATCTGACCTGTTGAGCAGGTAAAACAAGTCATTTATCAAGTTTTTTCAAAAAAAAAAAATTTAATAAATAAAAATTTAACAAAATAATCACAACATGAATAAAAATCAATTAAATTTTCAAAAAAAAAGAAAATTTCAGAACATAAAGAAAAGTTATAAAAAATAATTTCAAATACCAAAAATAAAAAAAAAATCTAAAAATTTAACAAAAATTAAGAAAACTCACAAAATTGAACAAAACTAAATAAAAATCAAAAACTAAATTACATTTTTTTTAAATAAATAAAATTTCAGAACATAAAGAAACATGTAAAAAATTGAAAAATTGTTTGAAACCATCATCGTCAATAGTGATATATTTGAAATTTTTATTCTCACCTATAATATTTCAGATTTTTGAAAAGGAAACTTGTAATTTTTATGAAATTTTCCAATAAAATTGACATATCATCGTTTCCAAAAAAAATTTCAAACATATTACTGTTGAAGTTGATGGTTTCAAATAGTTAAAAACTATTTTGAACTTTTGAGTTTTCAAAATTTTGTGAATCTTCTTTAACTTTTGTTTAATTTTCTGAATCTTCTTTTATAAATTTTTCCTTATGTGAATCTTCTTTTATAAATTTTTCTTTATGTTCTGCAATTTTCTTTAACTTTTTTGAAAATTCAATTTATTTTATTTATTTTGGATTATTTATTATTTTAATATTTATTTCTATGAAAAAAACTAATAAATAAAATAGGTAATTTATCAGTTTTTTCTGAGAAATAAATATTTCGTAAAATTTAATAAATAATAAAAAAATAAATAAAAATCAGTTGATTTTTCAAAAAGTTCAATTTTGTGAATTTTCTTTAATTTTTGTTTAATTTTAAAATTTTTATTTAATTCCGGGTATCTGAAATTATTTTTTTTATAAATGTTTCTTTATGTTCTGAAATTTTCTTTAATTTTTTTGAAAATTTAATAGATTTTTTATTATTTTTTTTTGATTATTTATTAATTTTTTTATTTTTAATATTTATTTTTTGGAAAAACTAGATAAATAACTTGTTTTACCTGTTCAACAGGTCAGATTTTCAAGTTCAAGGTTTTTTGTGACACAAATGTCACTTTGAAGGTTTAAAGTGCTAGTGAAAAAACTTCAAGGTTTAAAGTGCTAGTAAGTGTCACTCTGGANATTTTTTTATTTTTAATATTTATTTTTTGGAAAAACTAGATAAATAACTTGTTTTACCTGTTCAACAGGTCAGATTTTCAAGTTCAAGGTTTTTTGTGACACAAATGTCACTTTGAAGGTTTAAAGTGCTAGTGAAAAAACTTCAAGGTTTAAAGTGCTAGTAAGTGTCACTCTGGAGGTTTTTTATGCGATTTCCCCATATTTAATAAGTAAATATGCTTATTTGTCACATTCTCCATTATTTTAGGTTATTTTGTTTATGTATCATGTTTCAAATACTTTTTAGTTGATTCATTAGTTATTAATTTCAATACTTTTATTAATTCAAACTTTGTAATATATATCACCTTCTCCACAATTTAAGTTATTTATGTGTCATATTTAAGTAATTTTTAGTTGATTCATTAATTTATTAATTTAATACTGTATTATTAATTCAAACTTTGTAATTAGATTTATAATTTTTTTTCTTAACTTTGTAGAAAACAATTCTAATTAGAGAATATTGGCTGAAACACTCTATCAGCCTCCAATATTTGTGAATTAGCCACGATTTGACATTAATATTTTTTGAGACCAAATTGCCCTTCCTTGTTTCCCGGCCCTACTCTCTAGGCCTGCGCCCGTAGCCTCACGCCTGCGCGTTTAGCAGTCAACTTCCTCTTTAACCACGAACCAAATTTATGTCTCAACCGTCCACTTTCAAATTTTAAATTAAATTTTTTTTTTTTTGGTCCAATTCTTTTTGTTCAAACACAAAACTGATTGTTTCAGTTTCCCATTTCCACTGTAAAAAGGAACTGTAAATCTCATTCTTGAGAAACCGTTATCCCCCATTTTCTTTTTCGATTCATCCATGGAAGATCTTCTACTTCCTCTCCGTATTTTTTCATGTGGTGATGAACCTAATGGCGAACGAGTCAACTCGTATCACAGGACTCGGAGAACCGAGTTGCTTATTGAATCCTTAGACGAGGAAGAGATGGAGTTCTTCAAGAATTCCCAGTTCTCCAGAGTTCTAGCGCTAGACGAGAATCCGCCTTTCTCTGGCGCTTTTGGGCATTTCATTCTTGTGAGGATGCTGAAGACAGAGAAGAAATATGAGATATGGTTGATTTTCGCCGGGAGACCAATCAGAATTTCCCTTAGGGAGTTTGCTATTGTTACTGGGCTTAACTGCAACCGGATTCCTACTCAGACGCGGAAAAAAAGGAAGAATCCTCTCAAAGAGAAACTCTATTGGAATGAATTGTTTGGCTCTCTTAAATCGTGTTCTGTTGATACTGTTATCGAGATGCTCAAGACCCACAAGGTGAAGGATAGGGAGACACGGATCAAATTTGCATGTCTAGCAATTACGGCTTCAGTTTTACTTCCATCTTCTCACACTCCGAAAATTGTCCCTGAGCATGTGGAGTTAATTAGGGATATTGATGATTTTATTTCTTATCCATGGGGGCGTTCTTCTTTTGAACTTGTAACATCAATAATACTTAAGAAGGATGCAGTTGCCCTCGCTCAAGACTCTTTCGCGGTAAGGGGTTATGTGGAAGCTATTCAACTAGTCATGATTGCTGCTGTCCCTGCTTTGAAAGAAGAAGTTATCATCAATGCCCCTGTAGTTGTAGTTGAATCTGATAGTGAGAGTGAGACCCCGGCTGGTGATGTTTCTGTAAATTTGAACAAGGTTAACTCCACGCCAAGATGGATTGTTAATCCCAAAAATGCGAGGGACCTCAACGCGGAGTGTCAGGTTCGACCCAATACCTTCACTATATTTACCTGTTAACACAATGCTTAACCGTTACTAGAATTAGTAGCCGTTAACTAATTGCTTAGCTACTGTTAGAGTATATTATTGTACCTTAATCCCATGCTTATTTTTTGTTTTCACATTACCTATCATCTGAATTAGAATAATAAATTATTCTTAATTGGATCAGTCTTGTAGTCTCTACTTGGACGTAATCGGAATTTCTCTTAAATTTCGCCTTATTAAGTTTAACAGCTAATGACATACTTAGCCGCTAATTTTAATGGTAACAACCATCCGTTGTGTTGACACTTTTATCCAGGTTGAAGTTCAATCCATTCTTGATGCCCCAGATGATGATTGGCTTTCTGATAAGGACTTTAGTTGGGTTGATGAAGGCGATGACCCTGCCGTCGACAATCTTGTTAAACTCATTAACGATGGGTTCTTGTTCAACAATGACATGTTCCGTGGTGGTATTTCATCTAGTGACCTCTCTAGATCAAATGTCTCCAAGCAAAGGGAAAAGGAGGTCAAGGATAGACACGACAAAGCAAATGTCGGTGGGTCATCTCAGGGAGCTGTTATTGGTGAAGGCATTATTGAACCGCTAGCTAATCTAATTTCAGAGAAATTATGTGGCAACATTGTTGGTATTGAGCATAAAATAGCTGCCGCTGTTGAGAAGAAGGTTGCCGCTAGTCTTGTTGGAGTTGAGGGTAGACTACACACGGCTGTTATCAAATACATGAAATCATTGGAGACGGGAGTCATCAAGGCCATTATTGATTTTTTGGGAAAGTCTACCTCAACAGTTCCAACTGAACACGACATTCCCCAAACAGATTTTCCAAATCGTACTCCGGCTAAGGACAAGGACGCTGAATATGCATCTCATGGTGGAGATGATAACGAGACCTCTTCCAAACCTTCGGAGCCAAAGGAGGACGACCCAGTTAGGCGTGTCCTAGATGACATTCAGGCATCCTCCAACAATGAGGTTAGATATCTCTCCAACTACTAATAGTTTTTTTGAGAATAATTACACCAACATTTTATTTATTCTCCATGCAATCAGTCAACTGAACACGAACACGTCGTTTCACCGGGTTTAGCAACAGAACTCCCTCCAGACAATGCGATGACAGAGATACTATCCCACGAGGTAGCTTCCACTATCAGTCATGTTAACAGTAAATGCTAGCATTATCGGTTAAAATCTGTGTTAACCGTTAATATACTCTGTTACCAGGTAGACGACAATGTCTCACCTTCTGAGCGTCTTCTTGAAACCTCAAGCGGCAACAACTTGGCTGCACCAAACCCGGTATTTTCCCTCAAATATTTAAAATAACCTAATTTAAACCCTATAATAATTTGATTATCCTCCATACATAC